AATATTAATTTATTAAATTACAAAATATAAACTATTTCACTAATTATTAATTTTTAATAATTAAATCAAATAAAATTAATATATTTTTTAAGACAATTAGAGTAGCCATAACAATTTAATTGCTCTTAATCACACAGGCGGAGCCAACCAGATCTTGAGCGTCAGCAGATAACGACAACCACAGCCCGCCGCATCGCCTGTTAACTTCCCACAACATTCACCTTCCCCAACCTTCATAAAACAAATCCAATCCCAAGCAAACAGGAAGAGATTTCAAAGACAAGAACCGAAACGAAAATGCATCCTCAATTGACCTCTGCTTCTTCTTCTACTTCTTCTCCAAGCGATCGACGGTTAAGCGCTTTGGTCAGACACCTTACCGGATCATCACCGGAGATTGACTCTCAAAGCATCTTATCAGCTTCTCCAACCTCCGGCTTTCACGGCGACTCCGTCTTCTCTCACATTGTTCGCGCTCCTGAAGATCCTATTCTCGGGGTACTCCTTCATTCTTCTTTATGATCTTCAATTTCTCTCTAATTGCAGGAAAATCCAATCTTAAGTCGTGACTTACCTAATCCTGTTCCTTTCTTCATTGCACGGAGAACAGGTGACAGTTGCTTATAACAAAGATCCCAGTCCTGTCAAGTTGAATTTGGGCGTTGGAGCTTATAGAACAGAGGCAACTTAAGTCTTTCTTAATTAATCTGAATCAATTTGATGGAGAATTATATATAACTTTATTCTTCTTTGCATTCAATATATGGTAATCTCTGATGCAAATATTGGATCGTCGTTCTGGTTTGATGCCTAACAGGAAGGGAAACCACTAGTTCTTAATGTAGTGAGGAAAGCTGAGCAGATGCTTGTGAATGACAGGTTAGTTTCTTTGTGCATAAGTGGTAATTGAATCTCTTCTTGCATAACTTTCGTATCTGGACTCTGGAGTATTTTTATGCAATGAATGAAATTCTTAATAATTTAGATTTTTATTTTCACCATGTGTTAGGTCACGGGTGAAGGAGTATCTTCCCATTGTTGGATTGGCAGAATTCAATAAATTGAGTGCTAAGCTCATTTTAGGGGCTGAAAGGTATATGATTTTTATTTGCAATCAAACTAGGGATTCTGTAATTGGCTTTTGTCTTTTGATGATTTATTTATTTCTTGCTTGAGTACAGCCCAGCTATTCGAGAAAATAGAGTTACTACTGTTCAATGCTTGTCTGGTACCGGTTCATTGAGGGTTGGAGCTGAATTTTTGGCAAAACACTATCATCAAGTAAATTTCTATTGGTTTAATAATGAATAAACATTAGCAATTTGACAAATCTAACCCCTTTATTTTCCCCTTCAATCTGCCTTGTTTTGCAGCGCACAATATACATTCCACACCCAACATGGGGAAACCACCCAAAGGTTTTCACACTGGCAGGGTTATCTGTAAAAACATACCGCTATTATAATCCAGTAACACGTGGCTTGAACTTCCAAGGTTTGAGAACATGATTTACACTAGTTACTAAACATTATTTATCACTAGCATATTGTTATCTGGTAAATTTGATCTCTTTATTCAGATTAGAGTGTGTTTCTAGTCTTCTTTATCAAAGTTGGTTGCTTCTTTTTCTTCTTATAATTGTTTATATGTAAGATCTACAAAAGTTATTTTGTTTCCCCTCTCATGAGTTTTTACAAAAGAACTGGTTAATTTTAAGTATTGTGCAATGTTTCTTCTTGTTTTTACAATCGATATTCATTTTTTATGTCTGGCTAATAATAGGTTTACTGGAAGATCTTGGTTCTGCCCCATCTGGAGCTATAGTGCTTCTTCATGCTTGTGCTCATAATCCCACTGGTGTTGATCCAACTTTTCAGCAATGGGAGCAGATCCGGCAGTTGATGAGATCAAAGTGCTTGTTACCTTTCTTTGACAGTGCTTATCAGGTTAGTTATTTGAATCACGTCTATTTTAGTTACTTGATGCTTTTCAAGAAACTTAATTTCAAGACCAATAAAAGGATTTTGTTTCCTCCCATCATAGGGTTTTGCTAGTGGAAGTCTGGATGCAGATGCACAATCTGTTCGCATGTTCGTTGCTGATGGTGGGGAATGCCTTGTAGCACAAAGTTATGCAAAGAACATGGGGCTCTATGGGGAACGTGTTGGTGCATTAAGCATTGTAAGCATCCTACTCTAACCTTTGTTCAGGTGTTCAGTACATTGAAGTTATTGACATGCAGTTTCCTTTGATTTTGGGTAGTGTTTTATTTTATGTGTTATAAAATTATGTTTGACATTGTAGTTAAAGTAGATATACCCATGTGTTATGGCAGCTGTGCCTGACTACTTAGAAATTTAATGTAAATGTTGTCATTATCAGAAAAGTATCTCTTTTACTTGCTTTCTAGAAACCTAAAGAAGATATTCTCCTTGTTCATCACAAGTTTAATCTTGTACAGGTTTGCAGGGCAGCTGATGTTGCAAGTAAGGTGGAGAGCCAGTTGAAACTTGTTATTCGGCCTATGTATTCAAACCCCCCCATTCATGGTGCATCAATTGTTGCTATCATCCTCAAGGACAGGTGACTATTGTTACCATTCAAATTTCTATTGAGATGCCTGCCTGAATTCACTAGATTTTACAGTTACAGGTTGGAATTTCTCTTAGTAGATGTGGTGGATTTAACTGATATAAGGGTATTAACTAGATCTAAGAGATTCCAGTGTATCCATTGAAAAGGGACATGCAGCAGGCATCCTGCTTTATTATTTTCATTCCTTTTTTCAGCAGATTTCAAAATTCTGAAATCCTTCTCTTTTCTTTGGTTATGTGCAGAAATATGTACAATGAATGGACTATTGAGTTGAAGGAAATGGCTGACCGTATCATCAGCATGCGCCAACAACTCTTTGATGCTTTGCGTGCTAGAGGTTGGCAATCTTGAGTCTTTTCCCTTATGTTCTTTTCTTCCATGTGGTAATTCTGTTTTCTACTTTTCTTTAGGGCCTCAAGCAAGGATAATACATTAATATGAAAATATCTTGGATAAGAAAATATGTATAAAAGCTCCCTGAAGTAACATAATTGGGTCATTAATCTCTGTTGAGATTACTGATGAATGCTGTCTGTCCCCTCTCGCTGAATCAACTGTCTCACCCCATAAGTAGAGTAGTTATCAAGCCAGTCCACTTTTCCTGGAATCCTTGTTTAGAATTTTCAGCTCTGGATCAAACACAAAATTCCTCCAGTTATGCTTGGGAAAGAGGATGAGTTTAGTGCCTTGCCTAAGAAACGTGAGAAATAATACCCAAATTCATGCTGCTTTTGTTATTTGGCAGGAACACCTGGTGATTGGAGTCACATAATTAAGCAGATTGGAATGTTTACTTTCACTGGACTTAACAAGGAGCAAGTTGCCTTCATGACTAAAGAGTATCATATTTATATGACATCTGACGGGTAACATGCTTGACAAACAAAAACAATCTTACGAGAAAAGTTCAGCTCTAAGCCTCTAAGTATGTTTTATTTAACTTAAATTCTCTTTGTGCAGGAGGATTAGCATGGCAGGTCTGAGCTTGAAGACAGTCCCTCAGCTTGCAGATGCCATTCATGCAGCTGTTACTCGTGTAGTGTAGACTGATAAATCAGTCAAGAAGCAATTTTTTTAGCACCTTGCCACCTACGTTTACAATAAAATCACCAAATTGTCACCTGTCTTAATAATTATCATCCCAAATACCGGGTTGCGAATGCCTTTTTTTTTTTTTTTTGTTTTTATGAACTGTTACATTAACTTCTTAATGCTATCATATAGGGGTAATGTCTTCCTTTTTTGGTAGCAATAATGCAATATGGGCCTGTATCACCTTCCCAACCTCTGGTAATCACCTATGAATGTGTCCAAAAAT